CACAGTTTGGAAGACTGTCCTTCCAAAATGGAAGCTTTCCAGTTTGTCAGACAGGGCAATGCAGGGGGATTCAACAACTTCAACAATTGGAGAAATCAGCAACAGACCAACTGGAACAATGCACCACAACAAGGAAACTATCAAAGGCCTGCTCAGCCCCCAGGATTTCACAGACAAGATGGTCAACTTCCCAACTATCAGAATCAGCAACGTTCTAACCAACAATACATACCAAGGGAAGATGAATGGATTTTTGTACAAAATGCAATCAAGAGTTTGGCGGTGTCTTGCAAAAGTTTGGAAAATCAGTTGGCCCAGATTGCAAAACAAAATGCTGAAAGACCATCTGGGAGCCTGCCCAGTGATACAATTGTGAACCCCAAGGGGAATGACCAAGAGCAAGCGAAGGCTGTCACTCTCCGAAGTGGAAAGCAACTCAATCAGCCAAGTGAAGAAGTCACTCCTGCGAGTGACCCTGCAGGTAAGAATGAAACTTCTTCTGAGCAAATATCTGATAATGATGACGTGGTTGAACAGGAGCAACCCGCTGAAAAACCTGGGATGGAGGAAATTCAATTCCCAGCACCAATGAAGGAACCACAACAGCCAGCTCCGACGCCACCAAACCCATTAAGACAGAAGAAAGCACAAATGGATGAAGGACTCAACAGGTTTATCCAGAATTTAGAAAGTATACATATTAATGTACCACTTGTTGATGCACTTAAACAAATGCCTAAATACTTCAAGTACTTGAAGGATTTGGTGGCAAATAAGCCACAATTGCATAACTCTGCTTTTGTCACTCTAAATGAAGAATGTAGTGCAGCTATCCTGAGGAAATTACCACCTAAGCTGAAGGATCCAGGTAGTTTCACTCTTCCTTGCACTGTAGGAATCAGTGAATTTTCTAAAGCATTACTAGATCTCGGTGCAAGCATAAATCTCATGCCATTGTCTGTATTTAAATCCCTTGATCTGGACAAATTTCTGGTACCTACTAACATGACCTTGCAGCTGGCAGACAGATCTCTGACTTACCCAAAGGGAATCTTACATGATGTTCTTGTGAAAGTTGGTAACTTTGTTTACCCAGCAGATTTTGTGGTTTTGGACATGGAAGAAGACAGGGATGTACCCATCATCTTGGGGAGACCTTTTCTGGCAACAAGCGATGCAATCATTAAGGTGAAAAAGGGAGAAATCACACTGCACTTTGATGGGGAGAAGGTTGCCTTTAACATCTTCAAAAATATGAGATATCCCGCTGAAGCCCACGACTGCTACATGATAAGAAATGTAGAAGTAGAGGAAGCAGTAACGGAAGAATTACTGCAAGATGATCTCCTCAAGGAATTGTTGTACCCAGACTATAATGAGGAAAAGGAAGGAGGGGATGAGTACAGGGCCACTTGCCTGAGCTACCTGAACCACTCCCCCAAGTGGCATCCTAAACAGCAACCCTTTGAACTGATAAATCTGACCAAGGAAGGAAGATGCCTCAAACCTTCAGTTGAAGAACCACCTCATCTCGAGCTCAATCCTCTGCCCTCACATTTGAAGTACGCCTATATTGGAGCAAGTAACACCTTACCTGTAATCATTTCTTCTATGCTTACAGGTACTGAAGAGGACAAATTGTTGAGAGTACCGAGATTGCACAAGGAAGCCATTGGATGGACAATTGCTGACATTAAGGGCATCAGCCCCTCCATATGCATGCACAAAATCCTGCTTGAAGATGACGCCAAGCCAACCATTGAAGGACAAAGAAGACTCAACCCAGTCATGAAGGAAGTGGTGAAAAAGAAGATTATCAAGCTGTTGGATGTAGGGATTATCTTCCCAATATCTGATAGCAAGTGGGTGAGTCCAGTGCAGTGTGTGCCCAAGAAGGGAGGAATCACAGTGGTAAAGAATGACCTCCAGGAGCTAATCCCTACAAGGCTGAACAATTCATGGAGAGTGTGCATGGACTATAGAAATCTTAATAAAGCTACCAGAAAAGACCACTTTCCCCTTCCTTTTATTGATCAAATGCTGGATAGATTAGCTGGATTCATGTATTATTGTTTCCTTGATGGTTTCTCAGCTTACAACCAGATTGCCATAGACCCTGATGATCAAGAGAAGACGACTTTCACCTGCCCTTATGGCACATTTGCCTTCAAGAGAATGCCATTTGGACTGTGCAATGCACCAACAACTTTTCAAAGATGTATGATGGCCATTTTCTCTGATATGGTGGAAGACATAATTGAGGTCTTTATGGACGACTTCTCGGTCTTTGGTAAGTCATTTGATGCATGTTTGGACAACCTTGGGCTGATACTGAAAAGATGTATAGAAGCCAACCTGGTCCTCAACTGGGAGAAATGCCATTTTATGGTAACTGAGGGAATTGTCTTGGGGCATAAGATCTCACAGGAAGGAATTGAAGTAGATAAGGCAAAGATTGAAGTCATTGAGAAACTCAACCCACCGACCACAGTCAGGGGAGTGAGAAGTTTCCTAGGCCATGCCGGTTTTTACAAGAGGTTCATTAAAAAATTTTCAAAAATTTCTAAACCTTTGTGCAATTTGCTTGAAAAAGGACACTGCTTTTATTTTTGATGAATCCTGTTTAAATGCATTCACTGAATTGAAAAACAAACTCATCACCGCACATGTGATCATCACACCCGAGTGGTCACAACCTTTTGAACTAATGTGTGATGCAAGTGATTTTGCAGTTGGTGTTTTACTTGGACAAAGAAGGAACAAGGTGTTACATGTTGTTTACTATGCTAGTAAAACCCTTAATTCTGCACAAGTTAACTACACCACTACAGAGAAGGAAATGCTGGCAATTGTATTTGCATTTGACACATTCAGAGCTTATTTGCTAGGGATGAGAGTCATAGTCTATACCGACCATGCAGCCATCAGGTACTTAATCAACAAAAAAGAGTCTAAGCCAAGGTTGATTAGATGGGTGTTGTTGTTGCAGGAATTTGATTTGGAGATAAGAGACAGAAAGGGTGCTGAGAATCAAGTAGCAGACCATCTGTCAAGGCTTGAAGAAATTCCAGAAGACACAACTCCAATTTCAGAAAAATTCCCTGATGAGTCACTCTGGCGAGTGACAGGCACACTCATGAGAGTGACAGGTAACAGGCCTTGGTTTGCAGATTTTGCTAACTTTGTTGTTGCTGGTGTTATCCCCCCAGATCTCACCCCACAACAACGCAAGAGATTCTCGCATGATGCTCAACTCTATCTATGGGATGAACCCTACTTGTTCAAAAGATGTGCAGACTAGTGGATCAGAAGGTGCATTCCAGAATCCGAATTCACAGAGGTGTTACACAAATGCCACAGTTCACCCTATGGTGGACATTTCAACGGTCAAAGGACGGCAATCAAGGTTCTACAAGCTGGACTGTACTGGCCAACCCTGTTCAGAGATGCAAGAGAATTTGTCAAAAGCTGTGACCGGTGCCAAAGGACAGGAAATATTTCTGGAAAATGAGATGCCACAGCAGAACGTGCTTGAAGTGGAACTGTTTGATGTGTGGGGGATAGACTTCATGGGTCCCTTCGTGTCATCCTTTGGGAACTCCTACATACTGCTGGCAGTGGACTACGTTTCAAGATGGATAGAAGCTGTAGCTGCAAAGAACAATGATGCTAAAACTGTTCTCAGGTTTCTAAGAAAAAATATTTTCGCCAGGTTTGGTACACCCAGGATGATACTCAGTAATGAAGGATCACACTTCTGTAACAAGTCATTTGCAGCCATGGTAAAGAAATATGGAATCAGGCACAAGGTATCAACACCATACCATCCACAATCAAACGGGCTAGCAGAAGTGTCAAACAGGGAAGTGAAAAGAATCCTGGAAAAGGTTGTTAATTCTACCAGGAAGAATTGGTCCTCAAGGTTGGATGAAGTTTTATGGGCATATAGGACAGCATACAAGACTCCCATTGGTATGTCCCCGTTCAAACTGGTCTATGGAAAAGCATGCCACTTGCCAGTAGAATTGGAACATAAAGCTTACTGGGCTATCAAGGAACTAAATCTTGATTTGGGCAAAAGCAAGGAGTTGAGATTGGTTCAGTTGAATGAACTGGAAGAATTCAGACTAGAAGCATACGAATCGTCCAGAGTCTATAAAGAAAAAACTAAGAAGGACCGGGCCCTACAAAATCAGCAAGGTCCTAACTCATGGAGCAGTGGAGATCATAAATCCACAAAATGGCAACACCTTTTTGGTCAATGGTCATAGGCTTAAGCCATACCTTGGATGGACAGAAGGGAGTAAAGGACAGAACTATCAAGTTCTGGTCCTCAAGGAACTTCACTGAATCTTCTTTTGAAGTCTGGCATGAGACTTAAAACCAATGTGCTTTATGGGAGGCAACCCATAAGTTTTGCTTTTATATGGCTGACAATGTGCTACTCTAATTTTTGTAGGATTGGACAAGGAAATTGCCACCCCAATAGATTTCAGAAGGTGTAACATAAAAGGCCTCAGGTAAACTCACTCGCAGGAGTGAAGAAGATCACTCCGCTGAGTGAACCAACGGGAAGGAATCTTGAGAATTTTCTAACCCTGACATCACTCACGCAAGTGGAACAATCCACTCACCTGAGTAAGAACAACTGTACGACACTTTCTGCAAAAAGTCACCTTTTGGGCTGTAGTTATGGTTTAAGTTTGGGGAGAAATTTTTTTTCCGGAAAATTTCAAATTTCAATTTTAACCACGTCCGCCTTTTTGAGTCACTTGAGTCAGCCACGATTTCCAAAAACTTTAACTACTGTGCATTAACTCTCAACTCCTTCATTGCTTCGTCTTCTTCATTTTCTTCTTATTTCCAGAACTACTTCTTCAACCACCACTTCCCTGTGTGAACAATTTCTCTGAGTTTCCAGGCACATAAGGCAATTTTCAGATTTAATCACAAAACCCCTCTTTCAATTTTGCCAACACAACTCTTAGGGTTTGTCACAGATGCCGCCGGCAAGGAGGAAGGCTGCTGCCTGCAAAAACGCCTCCAACACAAGGAGAAGGACATCATCCTCCTCATCCTCGCCCTCTCCTGAACGGCAAAGAACGCCCACTCCACCAGCATCCCCTGCCAGAGAACATACCCCACCGCCACCTCCACAACCACCAAGGGCATTGCAAGAACAAGCCCTTAATGCCATCACAGATGAATGGGAGCCCAGGTTGTTTCCAAGGAAGAAGGGGTGGGATTTCTTTTTGAAGCACATAAGGCGAAAATTCATCCCAGAAAGGGGAATCGGTGAAGATGGCGCAGCTTTTGCCTACATCAAGCGCCATGGCTGGGAGACCTTCTCCAACCCACCTGTCAAGCCAAGGATCCAGATTGTGCAAGAATTTTATGGAAACTTCCACACTGTCCCTAGAGATGGAGTATTCGTCAGAGGCATCAGCGTCAATTGCAGTACAGAGGCCATCAGGGCCATCTGGAAGTTACCAAGAATAAGCACCGATTACAGAGAAATCCTGGCTGCCCTGCATCCAAATCAACCGTTGGAACAGGCCATTCTGTCCAGATTGGCAAAAAGAGGGCACAAGCTGGGAGATGGATGATCAAGAAAACCCTTTGGGATTTCCAGCAAACGTGTTGCAGACGCCTGACTTAAATCTGTGGCAGCATTTCATCTGCTACAATCTGATGCCAACATCCTACACTGCTAAGGTCACCTATGAGATGCCTATGACCATTGACCAAAAAGGTGTTGCCATTTTGTGGATTTATGATCTCCACTGCTCTATGAGTTAGGACCTTGATAATAGCTAAATTGTTACATAAAAGTATCACAATTAACTTTGTATTTGATGAACAATTGGGGGTATTTCCTAACATTGATGCAATTTACTTAGCTCATTTTCATATTATTGTTAGGAAAGGACCGGATCAAATAATTGCTGAAAATTGGAAGTCAAAGGAGCAATTTACGGGCTGCTGAGGCAAGGTTGCTGAGCTGGACGAAGAAGGAGGCCCTTAGACAAGAAGCATCTTGTCATTAATGACCTTGCCTCCCCCTAGAGGCATGCTTGTCCCCCAGCCGCAATCTCAGCCACCACTGCTGATCAATGAGAGCAAAACGGCCACTGCTGGAAGAGAGAAAAGGAATGGCCAAGTTGGATGCCAGGCTCAAGACATTGGAAGGATTAAACAACTCCAAGCATGGGGAGGTTCTCATGATGAAGACACCGGTTGCAAGGCACTATAAAGGAGGGAACGACACTCTCACATAGGGGATCCATCTCTCAATCTCTGGTTCCCTTTCAATTGCTAAAAACACTCAGAAAAACTCCAGGTAGAAGGCAAGAAAGAAGAAGAAGTAGCAACAACTCAGAGAGGAAGCCAAGTTGAAGATTAGTAACCCAGTTTCTTCTTCAGTTCCACGAGTGAACTCCTTCACTCTCAGGAGTGACTCAGAAACTGCACAAGCTTTCTCCTCATCTCTTGACTGTTAGCTTGAACTTTGTTTACTATGCATACTTCTATGATGTCTTTCGATGTAGTAGATGTAGCATTAATCTGTATGAGTAGCTAAACAGTTCCCAGGGGTTATTCTCCTCAACTGATGTTGTAGTTGTCAAAGCACTAGTTTTGTTCCTTGTTTTATGGTTGAAAGTTTTTCTACATTCATTTACTTGATCACTAAATTGAATGCATACTAGAACTAAGGGAGATCTGAAAGGATAAACTTGGTTTGGATTGTTTCAACTTTAACTTATGACATAGAGGTAACAGTCTATGGTTTTAACTAAGATAGGAATATACTTAGTTAACATAAGCATTCTTGAAGGCCTAAGAACTTAATGACTTTGTAGCTGAATCAATCATTGGAAAATAGGTTGTTAAGGTTGCAAAGATGACTCTAGGAAAAATGGGAACTGACTTAGAGTTATAAGTGAGCTGAATGAACAAGAACTCAACCATTACAGTGCTAATAAAACAACTACAACAGTAGGAAGAGGAGAAGAACACCCCTGGCCTCCATTCCCCTGAGTGACTGTTTTCATTCTCCTAAGTGACACCTTGTTTGACTGACAGTTTTTCTTTATAACAAATTTGGTAATTAGCTGTCCTCGTGGGATCGACCTAGCTTCCATTATCTACAAAACTCATAATCCAAGCTAGTAATATTTTTTTTTTTTTGGTGAACTCGGCAAGCACCAGCTGTCCCAACCATGTTATCATTCAACATCATTGCAAAATGAAGCCATATTTTCCTCCCCAAAAGGCAGCCAAATAACAATGAATTATTCCATCCCCTTGTTTTCTACATAGATAGCATACTGCCGAAAAGCTTTGTACACCCATTTGCCCTAATATTTCAGGGAATGATAGCAATTTGTTTAGGGGCTTCCACGCATACAATGATATTCTCAATGGAGTATATGAATTCCAAACATGTCTAGTCCAACTCTCCTCACCCTGCCTTTGACGCATTGCTTCATAAACGGACTTAACCGTCAGCTTACTTTTAGGCATATGTTGACATATTAATAAATCATCACCCTCCTGGAAATCTTGATGATGCTCTACATGGAAAGAAAGGATCTGATCAGAGAGGACATTTTGCATTTCAGGTAGAAACGAATGCTTGTTTAGAAAGAATTCCCTTATACTTAAGTCCAGAAAGGGCGGTTGCTCATGATAAACATCCCAAAGTGCACCATAGGGTGACAAATTATCGAACCAAAAGGATCGATCCCCTCCATGAATGATCACCTTAGTGTGTAATAAAGCCCGACTCTCCGCCTTTAATATGTGCTTCCAGGAAGTTTTTTTCTTCGCTAATTTGATAAGGAAATCAGGAACTCGCTCCATATTACCTTTTTATGTTTCAGCTTCCACTAGAACTTTATCATCAGTGGATCAATAATTTCTTGAAAGCATCGTATTCCCAAGCCAATTTCTGAACCAGGAATGTAATTCTCTCCCAAGATCTCCAATGCCGTTTACTTTCATCATTTGTTCCACTCCATAGAAATCTCTGATACTTCTTTTCCAGTTCCAGAATAACCGAGTTTGGTGGAGGTATTGCTGAGAAGACATCTATAGGTATGGAAGACAATACATGCTTGATTAAAACGAATCTGCCTCCTTTACTTAAAAATTTGTTTTTCCAGCTCAAGAGCTTTTTGTCAATGCTGTCCAAGAGGAATTGGAATGTAGAAACCTTGCGCCTTCCATAATACAATCGACATCCAAGGTAAACAAAGGGAAAATTACCTTTCTGAATTCCTAGAGTTTGTTGTATTATATTCACTCTTCTTGAGCCGAAACTATCTGAAACCATAAAAGAACTTTTCTGGCGACTTATTTTTTGTGCAAAAGCATTTTCATAATCATGAAAAAATTCATTAAGCTCATGCAACGATCACTTTAATCCTCTGGAGGAAATCACCAAGTCATCAGCGAAAGCAAGATGAGAAACTGTTAATGATCCTATCGGAGTTCCATAATTAGCCACTTTTCTAGTTTCAACTAGGGCTTTGAGTCTTCTTGTCATTGCTTCTGAGACAAGAATAAACAAGTATGGAGACAAATGATCTCCTTGTTTAATCCCTCGAGAAGATTGAAAAGTACCCATCGGGCTTCCATTAATCATAACTAAGAACCAACTGTTTCGCAAGTTATTAATGATCAAAGTCACAAAGGTTGACGGGAAACCAAATTTTAGCAATATTTTCTCTAAGAAATTCCATTTATCACGGTTGAAGGCTTTCATCATATCAAGCTTCAGCATAAGATTCTCCCCTTCAGCTTTCCAGCTTAGAAATTGACATAGATCCGAAGCAAATTACACATTATCTCTCCCTTCCAAACAAATAGACTGTTAATCACTTGCAATTTTAGAGCCATCAATTAAATATATTAGCTAATGTTGCTAAACATGCAGTAATTAAAGGCACATAAAAATCACCGGTGTGTTATGGGAACATCAAATACCCAATCAAAGCAAAAATAATCTAGCCTCATATGAAAATTCCAATTAATCAAACACTCTAAAAGTCAAACACATGCAATAACACATGTACTCTTTCTTTATGTTTGGAAGATGTCCACAATTTTGTAGAAACTATCATTGAGCAATTAGGAGAATGAAACACAACCCAAAGCAAAGCAAGCATCTAAGTCGCCATGGCCTTGAACCCGCATTGAAAATGGTGATGACTAAACAATGATCAAAGCTACTCCTCGATTCATATAAACATGGAAAATCACACAATGCAATGTAGATTTAAAAAGAAAACAAAAAAAAATCTTTGGAGGTTAAAATTTTATTACACCTTTTACAAGAAATAAAATTAAGAAAATTTAGATAATAGACTACAACAGTTGTACGGGGCAAAAACCGTGTATCATCCATTAGGGTTGAAATTGAAGTCTAGTATCTCCAAAATAATTAGAGTCATATACTAAAAATATCGAGATACTCAGTTTTCTTCCTTCATCACCAAAAGAATCACTGTTTGTAATTTACATCAATGAACCGGGTTTTCATTATAGTTTTTGTTAAACTCCTTGCCTCGCAACATATCCTTTCCATCTATTTTTACTCAAATCCCACCTAAACGTTGCTTATCCATTTTTTTTTCAAATTTAATATTTTCTCACCATAGACAACTCGTTTCAACATCACATGAAAATTTAAACACTCCAATCTTATAAGAGTAATTTCAACCACATACTCTAAATTACAGTATTTGTTAGTTTAATAATATTCAGTATCTGCAGTGTTTTACAAATGGTCCACTTCAACATAGTAACTCTCCTACCAAAAAGGGCACGTGCACTTTAGATCCATAATTCTTTTGGCAAATATGTGTAACGACAATAATAGTAAAAAGGAATGACTTACAATTTTTATTTTGAGAATCATAAGTATAAAAACATACAAAACACCAAGTTAAACAAAAATTATAAAAGTTAAAATATTTTACATAATAATAATTTGCATCAACTTTTAAATTCTACTCACAAAACATGATTAGTTGTGAATTTTATACATTAATTTGTAGTGTTTTATAGATCTAAATATATATTTTTTTGAGGAAAGAAAAAAGGGGATTTGGAACTGTTTTCAGGTCCCAACTAACTCATAAAATACTCAAGAGGTCTACCCAAGAGCTATTTTATAAATTAGTCAGTGCTAGATGGTACTATGCACCCAAGAAGTATACCCAAGGGATGGGCATATATACCATCTAGTTCCCTAGCTCCGTCCCTCCCTAGAATTTATTCATTCAAATATAGAGAAGTGGTAGCATATAGACTAGCCATAAATACATCAAGAGCTTCTACTTCGAGTATAGGAAAATGATTCTTGATCTAAGATAAATAATCCGTTTACATAACTTGGTAAACTATCTGTAGAAGAATGAGTTTGGGATGCCCCAGAAGCCATTTCTTTAGCTAACCAGTCCGCTACAGAGTTAACTTCTGTAAACACATGAATAATTCGAAATGCATTCCTTCGAATAATGGAAGACATTTCCTATAAATACAAAAAGTATCTCCAAGGAAAACCTGAATTCTTAGCTAAAGTCAAAGCCAAGACCTGATTATCCGTCTGAATCTCCACATTAGAAGGATGTAATTGCTCACATTTCCTTAGGCCAAAAAGAATGCCAGATATTTTTGCTAGAAAACTGTCACCTCCTCCAAGATATCCACCTTCACCATAGATAAAGGAACCTCCTTCACCTCGAATTAAAAAACCATAGCCTGCCTCACCAAGACTAGAAGAGCCATCAGTACTAAGGATATAAGCATTAAGAGGCGGTGGTCGCCACATAATATGCAAAACACGAGGCCGGCCAACGCGCCTTAAAGCTACATGGAAGTCATTTCGGAAGAAAGCATCCTCTTCTTCATTCCGAATTTTAAGATCATGAATCATCATCAAACAACGTACCCGTTCCATAATGGCATGAATAATGGAAGCATGAGTCGGCTTAGCATCTTCAAAAAAGACCTTGTTCCTTAGCTTCCATAACTCCCAAAGGATAGAAGGTAGAACCTTCCACAATGCACCATAAGCCGATTTTAGATCACCGCTACTCCACCATCGTCCTAACAAAGAGGATAGAGAAGTCGCACCTTGGATTTGAACTCTCATTAAGGATGAAAAATGTAGCCAAACAGCCCTTGTAAAATCACATCCAGAGAAACAATGAGATATTCCATCGTCATGGCTCTTGCAAAACAAACATATAGCCGGATAGCAATAGATCCGCATGTGCGCTATGACTTCTGGAAATGGAAGAAGCTTGTTGCGCAATTTCCACAAGAACAAACACGCAAAGGTGCTATAGAATTCCAAAAATGTTTTGCCCAATTTTCCTCCACTCCGCGCCTCCTCAAAGCTTCATAGGCGGATTTAACCGAAAAGACTCATGTAGGTGTATGCTGCCAAACAAGGAGGTCATCCTCCTCCATGAAATATTGCTCGTGAACCATAAGGAAGTGAAGGATCTCATCAGAAAGAGATGGCTGCAATAATGGGAGGTAATGCTGCCGGTTTTGGAAAAATTCCTGAATGCTTAGGTCCGGTAAAGGTGGTTCCAGTCCTTGAATGTCCCAAAGGACTCCATGGGCCATCAATTATCAAACCAAAAAGAGCTATCCCCTCTATGATCAATGGCTTTTGTGTGCACAACAGCCCTATTCTCCACCTTAGAAATTCTCTTCCAAGAAGTCTTTTTTTAGATGTAGTAGATGAAGAGAGAGAAAGCTACTCCATATTCTGGTTTTGTTCTTCATTTTCCACCATAATTTGACAGTCAAGACATCAATGAATTCCTGAAAACCACGGATCCCGAAGCCATTTTCATTAACCGGGAAGGTAATTCTATTCCACGATCTCCAATGACGTCGAGACTCTTCATTCATACTCCTCCAAAGAAATTTTTGACACCTTTTTTCAATCTCTTGAATGACTGACCGTGGGGGAGGGAGGCCCGAGAACACATGGACTGGAATAGATGATAAAACATGTTTGATCATCACCAAGCTTCCTCCTTGACTAAGCATCTTGTTTTTCCAGGTAAGGAGTCTCCGATCAAGATGATCTAATAAAAATTGGAAAGTGGACGCTGTCCTTTGACCAAGATATAATTTGCAGCCAAGGTAAGAAAAAGGAAACTTTCCTTGCTGAATGCCAAGCTCCCTTTGTATTATAACCATCCTTCTTGCATTGCAATTCTCTGCTACCATAAAAGAACTCTTTGGCCGACTCACCTTTTGACCCGAAGCAGCCTCATAGTCCATTAGAAAGCCATTTAATTCCTTCAATGATTTCTTTAGGCCCCTTGAGAAAATGATCACATAATCCGCAAAGGCAAGATGAGTCACCGGCAAGGAACCAACCGGAGTACCATAGGCAGCCACCCTACCTTACGCAACTAGAGCTTAAGGCGTCTTGTCATTGCTTCTGAAACAAGAATGAAGATAAGGGGACAACGGATCTCCTTGCTTAATACCCCGAGATGACTTGAAAAATCCAGCCGGACTTCCGTTTATCATAACCGAGAACCAAGCGACCCTCAAGTTATTCATTACCAGATCAACAAATTGTATAGCAAACCCAAACTTTATCATCACCTTTTCCAAAAAGGACCACCTTACTCTATCGAATGCTTTCATCATATCAAGCTTAAGCACAAAATTCCCTCATTCTGCTTTGCGCCCCAAGAACTGGCAAAGATCATGAGCTAGCAAAACATTATCCATTATGTCCCTCCCATGCAAAAAGGTGGATTGCTCCTCAGAGATGATTCTTGGTAGCACTATCTTGATTCTTTCCGTCAACATTTTAGTAAAAACCTTGTTTAAGAAGTTACAGAGGCTAATAGGTCTATACTCCGCAAAAGAAGTAACCACACCTTTTTTTGGAATAAGAGTGATCAAAGTACTTGAAATTGACCTAGGGATAGAGACGCCAAGCATGAATTCTTGGCAAGTCATTCGCAACAACTCCCCAACAACTTTTATAAAAGGTTCCCCCAAAGCCATCCACACCCGAAGCACTATCTTCGCTAAGATTTAAAACAGTTTCCTTGACTTCCTCAAGCATTATAGGCCTCAATAAACCATTCTCATCATCATTATCAGGTAGATGGGGAATATGGTGAACAAACATCTCTTGCTTTTCATCACAAAGCGGATCAATATCATTGTCATTTAATAGGGCCGAGAAGAAGGTAACTGCCTCTTGTTCAATATCCGGCTGACTTGTCAACATTTCCCCATTCTCAGACTGAATTTTGAAGATCCCTTGCCTCACTCTCTTTTCTTTTAAAGATGCATGAAAGAAAGAGGTGTTAGAGTCCCTTCTTTCATCCATTTTACTTTCATTGTTTGAGTCCAAAAGTCATCATGTTCCTTGATCCTCATGAGCAACTCGGCCTTGGAGTATTCAACCGCATCCTATCTTGAATTGCACCCGTTGTATCATATACTCCTTCAAGATCTTGGACTTTCTTCTCAGCCACCTTTAAATTAGCAAAAACATCACCAAAGGTTTCTTTACTCCACTCTTTCAATTTTGCTTTCAACCGACGCAACTTGAGTGAGAACCTCAACATACCAAAAGCTTCCAATGGCAAGTCTCGATTCTGTTTAACTATGGCTAGGAAATCCAGCCTCCTCAACCACATTTTTTGAAACCAAAAGACCCTCAGTTTGCTAGCCAAATGGACATCAAACAAGTGGAGCATTGGGCAGTGATCAGAGGTGGTGCAATACAGATTCTCAAGTAAGAAACCGGGAACAAATCATGCCACTCTGGTGTTATCAGGACTCTATCAAGTTTCTTGCTAACCCATCCCGTTTGGCGAGTACCCCCCATGTAAACTCTTCACCAATCGCCTGAATATCATCAAGATCGCATTCATGAATACATTCATTGAATTTCGAGATGGCTACCAAATCTTGAATCGAAGATCCTGAATATTCATCCGAGGTGCAAATGACATTGAAGTTGCCTCCAATCATCCAAGGGGCCAAAGAGTGGAGCTCTCTAAATGCAATCATGTGCTGCCATAATAAACGCCGCTCCACCTTAGTTGATTTAGCATATACAGCTGAAAGATAAAAAGTGCCATTCACCAAAGCATTAGTAACTTCAAAATGGAGGACTTGATCCAAATCCTCCAACAACGTGAGCATAAAGCCATGCCTACTAAACACCCAAATCTTGCTATTTCCTGAAGAAAAAGCAAAATCAAAGCCAAGCTCTCTTCTAACAACATCAATCTGGCTACTAGAAACCATAGGCTCCATGATAATCAAAACCGAAACTTTATACATATTTATCAAGATTTTCAAACACTGTTGGGATGCTTGATTTTTTATTCCTCTAATATTCCAAATAAGTTGACTTAACATGGAAAAATTAAGGAGAAAAGGAACACATTACTGTAACTTAGATGATCGTCTAGGGATCACCCCTTTGAGCTGCTCCGCCTTTTTTGGCTTTTGATTTCGGGCCTCTTTTGCGCGACATCTTGACATCTTCATGAAACAAACCTTTGTCTGTATCATTAACCAGCACATTCTCCATATCCCCTTCCAACCAGCGACATGATTTCCAATATCAGACTCCAAGAAGTCCGAGTTAAAAACAACAGTTCCATCATCCGAAGAATGTCCAATACACGAGGGATCTTCACTAGCCAGCTGTTGCAAAGCACTCTCCACTTCAGCAAAGGTTGTGTTTCCAAGGTTTTCAACATATACATCTTCGATTTGAGCCTCTTCTTCCACTTTTTGATCCTCACAGTCGGCCTTATCGATCATACACAACAATGCAAAACGGTTGTCATTTTGTGCATCAAGGGATTTTTGTGGCTGCATGTTCTCCGATTGTAGCACCGCCTATTGGGGAGGGACTAGGAGTGTTACTACTAGAGTAGGGTCTTGTCCATCGACAGAGATTCCAAGCAGTTCCAGCTGAGATGGAGCTGATGCCGCAACATCCAAACTGGCATCGCAGCTCGCAGAGTTAGGGTTTCCACAAGCCTGAGTTCCGCGGCCTGCGACTAGGGTTTTTGCGATGCTCCCTTGTTGCGACTTTGGGAGTGAGCTTTCCTTTGGGGGGGAGTCACGAACATCAACAACAGTAGCTACCTTCTCCTTCTTTGTCAGACCTGACGACGAACCAACTACAGCAGTATCTCGTCCCTTATGCACATTCTCCAGTGGCTTTTCCAAAACCCTAGCGCGCAAAGGTGCAACTTGCGACGGCTTTACGGGTTTCAATTGCTTCGTTTCATGTTCCTCCAATTGCTGTTTACCCTTCATCCCCTTCTTCAACGGCAAACCTTTCTTGCAATCTTCTACTTTGTGACAGAAGCACTTAGAACAATAGAAAGGAACATGTTCATATGTGAAAAATTGCTCGTGTTTCCTTCCCCTTTTGCCAATTTTGACGCATTTAGGAAGCTCTTTTGTCAAATCCACCCGTACACAAAACTTAGCCACCGATGGACGGGTCATGTTCAATGTGGGGGCATCAACCTTCAACGGCTTTCCGATCACCGTAGCCATTGAGAAGATGACCTCTGCGTTTAAGAATTCAATTTGGAAATCGCAAAGCGAGACCCAAATTGGTACTATTGGCGGATTCTCTTCAAATTTGAAACCCAGTTTCCACTTGAGAATTCTCATGGAAAAGCCGGCTACATTCTAGAACGTTCGCATCCAAAAACGTTGATAGTCATCTTCATGCTCAAATCGAATCAAAATGTGCCTAGGGTTCATCAACCGTAAAGTGTATGCTCCATTTCTTGAATTCTTTACGCATATCCTCCATTTTAGGTCTCCCATATACAAACTTGCCAACCAAACTCATTTAATGAGGAGAAATCAAATGCTCATTGTTAGGGGTCAACTCTGACCCACTTTGACCGGCCCAACTGGCCATCCGGCTTGGGCTTATCCTGTAAGCCCAAGAAACCCATTTATTCCTTCCTAAAGGCCCAGCCGGGTCACAAGGAATACACACATATTTATTTACGCTTTTGCCCCTCCCAACACAGGGGCCCACAGGTATTGTCCCATTGGGACCTATAAATACTCCTTGTTCATTTATTGCTAATTCAATTCCACACTTTCGTTTCTCTCTCTAAGTGTGACAATTGCCTACTTCTCTCCCTAGAACTGACTTAATCTTCGGAGTGCTAACCTCCGTCTTGTAGGTTTCTGTCTAGGTCGAACCGTTGATTCTCCGCCCCGGAATTTACCCTCGACAAGTGGCGCCGTCTGTGGGAAATTTCATTCCCGTTTGGCCGAGGGCAAATCCAGTTGTTCTACGAGAGTAATGGTCTCGACCTGGACAAGGCCCGACAAATAGACGGGTTGCAGGCCTGGACTGAGATCGAGGGTGGTAGGGGGGAGTTCCCGCGTATCCGCCCAGTCCCGCGGAGAACGCCGAGACAAGGAGGATGCCGAAGGGGCTTCCCGAACTAATGACCGTCAGGGCCGCTCCAGGAGGTCTGACGATCCTTGCGAGGGCCACGGCCACGGATCAGCCGAACACCGAAGGAGCCGGTCCCGCCAGACCTGTAAAGAAGCGGAGAGGAGCAAAGAACCTTCCAAGCGTCCTCGCCCGTCCCGTTCACTTGAACGAGGACCACACGATGACCGCTTCTGGAGATCCTTTGCCGGAAGATTCCCTGGATTTGAAGAACAGTTCAAAAAGTTCGAGGACATGTATTATGGAGGCAAAGGCGAAGGTCCGGACAATAGCCTCATGTTCATGGGGGGAACGAAGGGTCTCTCGGGGTCGAGATCGATCCAGAGAACGCGACCCTAAAACCCCACCAAGACCCGAGCCGCAGGTGGACCGCGAGGATGTGTCAGATCCCTGGCACGAGGCTATATTCAACAGTAGGGAGACGCTGGGAAGAACTTTCGCCGAGCATATCCGGTGTTATCCTCGGCCGGTAAACTTGAAACTCCCAACGGACATCCCAAAGTACGGGGGTGATACCTGTCCAGTTAGCTTCTTGGTCGATTACACCACGGCCATGGATTTGCGAGACTCACCCCGGGAGTTCTCTGCTAAAGCGATGCCCACCTTTCTAACATGGGCCGCTAAGATATGGTTCGATAGCCTTCCCCAGGGAAGCGTTACTTCTTATGCGGACTTAGGGCGAAAGCTCCACGTCTGATTCTTTTCCAGCAAGAGAGCCAAGTGCACCATCCATGACTTGTCATCGGTTTGCCAGCGTCGGAATGAGTCTTTGGGGGAATACTACGAGAGGTTCACGAACGAACTCATGATGATAGATCAAGTCGATGATTTGGTGGTGAGGGTAGAGTTCATGAACGGCCTCTCTCCCTTTGGTGTGGGCGCTGCCCTGAGGAGCAAGCTCACGGCTAAGCCCCCGGGCACTACCCAGAGGTTGTGGGAGATAGTCGAAAAGGAGATCCGGACGGACGAGTCCATGAAGAGAGCCAGAGAAGCTTTTGCCGAAGGCGAGAAGAAAACAGGGAAGCCGGAGGCAATGAAACTCAACATCGGATCTCCGAAGTTCGAGTCCAAGGTACCCGTCCTCACCAAAACTAGAAAGGAAATTCTTCAAATTCACAAGAGTGAGTTCAAGCTTCCACCCCCGGGCCGGTCTCAGAATGAATCCTCATCCGAATGGTGCGACTTTCACCGAAGCAAGGGACATGATATCGAAGATTGCTACAGGCTGAAGAGGGAGATTGAGGAGGGTCTTAAGGTGGGTAAGTTTCAAGATTGTATCCAGAAGGGGTCCCAAGAAAAAGCGCCAGGCCAACCCAAGAACCGGAGGTGGAAGAAAAACAAAGCTAAGACCGCCAATCAAGTCCCCGTCGGGGACGGGGCCAAAGCCCAGGATGGTGTCGATCCGGTGCAGGCACGGCAGATTTTGGCCGCTCCCGTGGGTGCTATCTATGGGGCGCCCTTGGGAGTCCAGAGTGTTTCCACTCTCTGCAGGAGTTCGCGCCCCCGACCGCCGGATGAGTCCGAGGCTAAACGCCTCCGTCCCGGGGAGGTGATATCCTTCTCAAAGCAGGATTTGGTAGGTGGATCCAAAGATTACCCCGATGCGTTGGTCATCACGGCCATAGTCGCCAACCGGGAAGTTCAACGCATATACGTTGATAATGGCAGCGCAGTGGATGTCATGTACAGTGATTGTTTCTAGAAGTTGGGCCTCGACAAGACTCAGCTCCGCCCCACCTCCATACCTTTGGTCGGCTTTTCTAACCACGTGAAAATGCCGTTAGGCATAATCAGCTTGGCTGTTACCGTAGGGACTTATCCCAAGGATCGGGTAATTCTCGTCGACTTTGCAGTGGTGGACGTCGTGGCCCCTTTCAATATCATTCTGGGGCAGCCCTGGATGAGTCAGGCGAAGGCCATTTACTCGCCATATCATTTGGTCATGAAGTTTCCGACCGAGGCTGGGATTGTAAAAGTTCGGGGAGATCAACAATTGGTGCGACAGTGCATGGTTATCGCCGCAAAGAAAGGGTGTGACTTCCTTTAGGGAAGGATAACCGTCGCGTTTGTCCAGGAGGTCCCGATCTCCGAAGACGAAGACCAAGGAAAGGACGACTCTGGTCCCACGGATGACGAGGTTACAGATGTGGCCCTGAATCCTTTTATAGAAGGAAGGGTCGTCAGCTTAGGAGCTGTTTTGCCCCCCAGTCTTCGGGACATGGTAGTTGAATTGTTGAAGCAGTTCGAAGACGTCTTCGCTTGGAGTCCCAGCGACATGACGGGGATTCCTCCCGAATTGGGCATGCACAAACTGAATGTCGACCCTAGCTTGCAGCCCATACAGCAGAGGAGGCGGAAGATGGCTCCCGAGCGCAATGCCGCTATCGATGTGGAGGTTGCTAAGCTGTTGGCTGCGTCCATCCTCAAGGAGATCTTCTATCCCACGTGGTTGGCCAATCCGGTCATGGTCAAGAAGCCTGACTCTTCTTGGTGAATGTGTGTGGATTATAAGGATCTCAATAATCACTGTCCTAAGGATTGCTATCCTCTTCCGGCAATCGAGCAGAAGGTCGATGCTATCTCGGGATACCCAGTGCTTAGCTTTCTGGACGCATACCAGATCCTGATGCACGAGGGTGATGCAAAAAAGACGGCCTTCATCACTGAAAAGGGGGTGTTCTGCTATGTGAAAATGCCCTTCGGTCTAAAGAACACGGGTGCCACATACCAACGTGTGGCCAATCGCGTCTTCGGGGACCAGCTTGGAAGAAATATAGAGGTCTATGGGGACGACATGGTGGTGAAAAGTCGTCGGATTGACCTTGTTGTCAACGACCTCCAGGAGACCTTTCGGACCCTCAGAGCAGTTAATATGAAGTTGAACCCGAAAAAATGTGTGTTCAGCGTCGGATCAGGAAAATTTTTGGGTTATCAGATTTCTTGGAGAGGGATTGATGTGGACCCTTCAAAGATTCAAGTCATCCTGGAAATGCAGCCTCCGCGGTCCATCAAAGAAGTACAAAGGCTTACAGGCTCTATTGCCGCCCTGGGACGCTTTCTGTCGAAGGCGGCCGAACGAAACTTGCCATTTTTTCATGTTCTCTTGAAGTCCGACACCTTAGGCTGGACCGAAGCTTGTCAGAAAGCCTTCATGGACCTAAAAGAACACTTGAGGACTCTCCCGACCCTGAGCACACCAGACCCGGGGGAAACTCTGATTCTGTACTTAGTCGTGGGAGAGTCCACAGTGAGTGCATCCTTGGTACGGGAACATAAGGGAAAGCAAATCCCTGTTTATTATATTAGTAAGGTCCTCCTTCCCGCCGAGTCTCAGTACAGTCCTGCTGAGAAGTTTATTTTTTGCCTCGTGACCGCGACACGGAAGTTACGTCCCTATTTCCAGGCGCACCCGATCCTTGTTCTTACAGATCAGCCCCTACAGCAGATCCTCCGAAGGTCTAACACGTTGGGCAGGATAACTAAGTGGGCTGTGGAACTCGGGGAGCACGACATAGAATTTCGACCCCAGACCTCCATCAAGGGCCAAGCCTTGGCCGATTTCCTTGTCGAAGTCCCTCGGGGGGTGGAATTCGAGGCTAGTGAATGTTGTCGAGTCCCTGAGAGATCTGCCCCCACCGGACCGCAACTGTGGGCTTTGTTCATCGATGGATCTTCCTCTAAAGAAGGTTTGGGCCCGGGCGTGGTTGTGATCGATCCCCACGGGTCGGAAATTGTTTATGCTATCCAGCTGGATTTTCCTACCACAAATAATGAGGCTGAATATGAAGCATTGATCACGGGGCTATCTATCGCCCTCGCGCTCGGT